GAGAATTGGAGAGAGGCTAATCTGGGCAAAGCTCGATGATATCTCGTTGCTCTATCGCTTTGATACGCTAATTCTTTCGCTAGAACGCCGAATAATAACTGAAGTTTTAGAGATGGAAGGCTGAAGAGTTGTGCTGGAAATTTTCTAGTACGTACTTGAATAAATTAGTCGGGTTTTGTTTTCCAATTTGCGTTTAGTACGGATGAAAATTTTTCGGATTTTGACGGAAACATAGAACGGGATTGGTGTATACGTTTTTATTAACAAGAAAATTAGAGTATGCCATTAATTCATTTCGAAAAAATTATAAAATCGATAAAAAAAAGTTCATTGGTGTTGTATATGTACAGGGTGGACCATTTTGGTTGTTTCTATAGGGTATCTAGGAAACCGTGAGAAATATTCAAATTTTGATACTGCAGTCTCGGGTTCTTTTTTTGAAAAAAATGCAATGGCGCAAACGGATCGTGGCTATCTTGATCAGTTTCGAAGCTACAGGGGGATTCTCAGATTTTGTATTTTTTGAAGATGTTCGATAGTTTGTTTATTTCAGCAACCACGGAAAAATGAATTATACATTCTAAAGGCAGTTTTCTGTGTAGAATGCAGTGGCGTAGTCAGACTTTTTTTGAAAAAAATATTTTTTGAGATATTAACTATACTTATGTTTTTTTTTTTAAATAGAACCCCCTGTATATTTTTAAATTTTCTTATTCAGCTTGGCATGGGCTTCTCGAAAATATATAACACTCTATATTTATTTTCACTATTAACCTCAACATTTCAAATTTTTCTTAAACTATCCAGTTAGTAGATAGTAGGCCGCGCCGACTAACAAAGTAAACGGTTTTCATGGTGATCGGAACATACCTTTGATGGATGCGGGACATTTCATTTCAACAGATTGAAGTGTGTGTATTTTAAATAATAAAAAAATGAGTAAATTTGAAAATTTTGAGAAATATAATACCGTATGATCGAATAAAAATAGCGTCCAGTTGGCTGGGAAATGACGATCGATGATGACATTTTTCATATAAATTTACATATAAAATGACAGCGATCTTCACTTCATATCCATCGCTGACACCATTTTTTTCGATCATACGGTATGTTAGAATGTTATATTGAGTCTAACAAACATAAGTAAATGGCAGCTAATTTATTTGAGCGGTATCCAGATTTTGAGCGGTATCCAGAGAGCGAGCAACCAAACCCAGCCATTTTTAAAAGGTTAGAAGATAGTTTAATCAATTTTGCATCTTTTCATAAACCGCGTCCGAAAAATTATCAGAAAGAAGATGAAGAAAATCAATATATTAATGTCCTCGGAGCCGAATACATGAATTAGCAATTAAATAAAATCGAACAATACGAAGCAAATAAAAAATAAGTGTAACAGAAACAAAAGAACATATTTTAATATAAACTCAAGAGTTTACTTCAATCGGGCTTCTCAGTTAATATAAAAAAATAACTAACACAAAGACTACATTAAATGTTCAGACTGCTGCCTATTATTATCTAGATAGAGTTGGTGCCGTCTCCGCACGCCGCGCCCCGCAAACAGCATTTCAATAGCTCTACTTGATGTTGTTGGATCAAGTGTTACGGCTCCGAGGACATTAATATATTGATTTTCTTCATCTTCTTTCTGATAATTTTTCGGACGCAGTTTTTGAAAAGATACAAAATTAATTAAACTATCTTCTAATCTTTTAAAAATAACTGGGTTTGGTTGCTCGCGCTCTGGATACCACTCAAAATATAAATCAGCTGCCATTTACTTATGTTTGTTAGACTCAATATAACATTCTAACATACCGTATGATCGAAAAAAAAACGGTGTCAGCGATGGCTATGAAGTGAAGATCGCTGTCATTTTATATGTAAATTTATATGGAAAATGTCATCAATCGTCATTTCCCAGCCAACTGGACGCTATTTTTATTCATTCATACGGTATTATATTTCTCAAAATTTTCAAATTTACTCATTTTTTTATTATTTAAAATACACACACTTCAATCTGTTGAAATGAAATGTCCCGCATCCATCAAAGGTATGTTCCGATCACCATGAAAACCGTTTACTTTGTTACTCGGCGCGGCCTACTATCTACTAACTGGATATTTTAAGAAAAATTTGAAATGTTGAGGTTAATAGTGAAAATGAATATAGAGTGTTATATATTTTCGAGAAGCCCATGCCAAGCTGCATAAGAAACAAGCCGAAATAAAGCTAATAAATAAAAAATTTAAAAATATACAGGGGGTTTCTATTTAAAAAAAGAAACATAAGTATAGTTAATATCTCAAAAAACATTTTTTTTCGAAAAAAGTCTGACTACGCCACTGCATTCTACACAGAAAACTGCCTTTAGAATGTATAATTCATTTTTCCGTGGTTGCTGAAATAAACAAACTATCGAACATCTTCAAAAAGTACAAAATTTGAGAATCTCTGTAACTTCGAAACCGATCAAGATAGCCACGATCCGTTTGCACCATTGTAATTTAAAAAAAAACACGTGACTGCAGTATCAAAATTTGAATATCTCTTACGGTTTCCTAGATATCCTAAAGAAACAACCAAAATGGTCCTCCCTGTACATACCTTTTACAGACAGAACGGTATTTAACCTATAGTTTGCAGACGATCAGGCAATACTAGCAGGGGATAAAGAAGATCTAGAATATACTAAGCTAAAAGAAACCTATGTAGAAAAAAAGGAAACCTATGTAGAATGGGGAATAACAATAAATATTGAAAAAACGAAGTACTTGTGCATAGGAAGAGAAAATTGTAACCTACGACTGGAAAATTCAGAAGAAATAGAAGCCTGTGAGGAATATAAATATTTAGCGGTTACATTTGACAAAATGGATTCAGAAAACAAGGAAATAAGAACAAGAGTGATCCAAGCACGAAAGGAAATTAATTGTTTGAACGGAATCCTCTGGAGTAAACATATTACGAACCGTAGGAAATACAATATATTATAACACTCTAATTAAAAGTAATTTGTTATACGGTTTAAAAATTTGGAGAATGACAGAAAAATATAAATGAATAACAGAAGCAACCGAAATGGATGCACTTAGAAGATCGGTCAGCGTATCCAGAACTGAGAGAGTGAGAAATGAAAATATCCGAGAACAAATGGGAATTCGAGACAGAATTATGACTGACATCGAAAGAAGGTAACTTGTCTGGTACGGCCATGTACATCGTATGAATGACAACGGATTACCCAAAAAACAATGAACTGGATACCAGATCACGGGAAAAAAGAGATCGCCCAAAAAGAACTTGGTACGAAGAAGTTCGTAAAGCCATGAGCATGAGAAACTGAGACGATGGCCAATGGGAGGTTAGAAAACTATGGAGTCTAGATATCGGACAACGTCACCGCGCGTTCTAACATATATAGCCCCGATTGAACATATATAGTTCTCCATCTCCGATATCAGTTGTACCAAAATTTATGGCACGAATGGTTGTCATCTCGACGCACTCCGTGATGAGCTGTTCTGGTGTTCCCCAATTTTTCCCACAGAATCCGAATCAAATTACTTTTTAACTTCAATCTACTGACATGTTTAGGGAGGCGGTGTTTTATTAAAAACCCCGGGATAATCCGAAGATTGTTCTTCCTTAATGAAGGAAAGTCTTTGATTTTTGTCTGTCGCAAGGACTGAGAAATTTCTTCGAGTGTCTTAGACCATTGGAGGGTTCCTTTTCCTGATTCCAAGTTCTTATGTTTTCTTTAAGTTGGTTTCCACTTGGGAAGCAGAACGGTTCTGGTCCAGTTCGCTAATTTTCTAGCTAGATCGTTTGCTTTTTTATTACCTTCTATGGTGGGCTGGCATCCAGAGAATGAGGACTTCATTTTATTTGCCTAATTTGTTTAGCTTCTCTAGGTATTCTTTAACCAACTTCGAATTGATGGTTATTGAGTTAATCGCTTTTAAGGCTGCTTGACTATTGGATAAGATGTCTATTGTTTGTTTCCGATAGTTCCTATCTAAAATAAGTTGGAAGGTTCTTTCAATAGCATTTGTATATTTTAGTACCACAGTTTTGTACACTAATGTTTATCCATTTATATTTCTTTGTCTAAGATTTTCGGCACCATATAAATTCATTCAAAAATCGAATATAACCAGATCTTAACGTTTGTGCATCATTTATACAACTTCAACTCGCAACTCTCCCAGACTTATTGGTAAGAGGCCAACTAGGGAGCAAGTTAAGCAAACATTTGAAAACTTACGTCTCTCGATATTATTAAATTTGTTGTTGCCCTCCTTGAAGTGCAGCCCGGACTTTATAATTGAGTTAGGCAAAGTTGAAAAGATAGGCGTAAAAAATTCGTCGTAAAAAGAACTATCCAAAAATTAATAAGAAAGTTTTCTAATTTTAGCCTACTACATCTTAATTAAAAGGTATGAGATAAGAATCGTTTTGTATTTTAATGCAGCTTTCTTGCGTAATAAAGTATTTGTTTAATTTTTCTCTAGAATTTTTTTAAACAACAATAATTTAAAAATTTTGAAAATTCTATTTTTTTAATAAACTTTCAATCAATATTTAAAATATTATATTTTACTCGTATATGACTAACTTCGTACCGCTTAACACTGAAGTGAACTGAGTTTTTTGTCGATCTTGTGGTAATACGAATGACCGAATATGATTTACTGCTAATGATTTACCGAGTGATCTGGTATGATGGAGACTAATCGATTTGACAGTTGTTGTCAATTGTTCTTTATACCACTGTTTACATTTTTATCCAAGTATTCTCTGTATATTTTAATACCTATTTGATAATTAAAAATGCTAGTATTTTTGTTGACTTTCTATTTTATAATGTATATCATGTCACTGATTTACAATGGACATCAATTATTTCAAAAAAGCTACAATTTTTTAATCTTAAAAATCATTATTATTTGGGTGATATGTATTGCATTTTATTTATTATTTTGTTTAAGGTATTGTGGTACAGAGATACGATGCAACTGGACACAACAGAACGAAGAATCATGGAATCCAGAGGATCCAGACACACACTGGTGATCAGGAAAGTCAATAGACAGGATTTTGGAAACTATACTTGCGTAGCAGATAACCAATTAGGGAAAACCAGGAAAAGTATACAGCTCACAGGTAGATAAACACCCTATATTATCAAAATTTATAAAATAGTCATATGAAGAAAAAAATATATGGTTTTTTGCATCCCAACAAAAACATAAAATGTAAAAAAATTATGATGACCATATCAATATAAGACGTTCTTTCTACAGTAATTGTAATGACTTCATAACTAAGTAAATCTAAACAATGAAATTAATAATAAAATGTCTTTTGATGAGCAGAATATGTAGCTATGTAGCAATTCCATTGATCGTAGGAATGAGTCTATTAAAATTATAGATGTTATGAGCTTTAACAAACATAATTGTCTTGAAAATTAAATTGGACCAGCAATATGATTTGTCCTTATCATCTTGACATAATAATTTAAACATGTTGGAGGAAAACAAAATAGAAATTAAAATTAACTTCTAATTCCAGGATACTTATTTTAAATAATTTAATTTAAATTTCTGATATTTAGGCAAGCCACATCCTGCTAAATTCAACAGTCCTTCGACAGGAAGATACAAGGAAAATTACAACATTAGTTGGCAAGTGGAGTCGCTGAGTCCAGTGGAAGAGTACAAATTGTTGTATAGGAGATTGCCTGATATAGGTGTGACCAGCGATAACCAGCCTCAGCCTTTGCATCATCAGAGTTTGAAGAAATTCAGTTCCAAAGGGGTGAGTATTTTTTTTAATATTGTGATTGGCTCTGAATAAAAATAACTTTATTAAATTGTTGTTACTTTTATCACTCTTTATCTCTAACTACTATCAATTTAATTTAAAGATGGTCTGCAATCATAATCTTTTAACTATCGGAAGAAATAAAGAACATACCGCTTCTCGAGAATATATCACTATTATTCATTCGTACGGTCGAGAATACTTACAAATATCTTAAAATTAAACTTCCAGAATCTGCATTTGCCGGTTTTTCTTAGCTTCAATCTACTGAAGTGTCCATTGAGAAGACAGTGTCCTGTTAAAAGCCCCGTATTTTATGAGATTTAAGTCTCTTTAGAAAAAAATTAACTCGTTTTTTTATATATCTGTATCGTGAATTTTTTTGCAGCGGCATCAAATATGTTTACCATTTGTAGTTTCATAAAAAAGTAGCAACTGTGAAAACCGTATCTTTGTACCGCTTGTAAAACACAAAAATGGGACAACCTGTACAAAATACCACAAAATTGAATTTTGTTTAAGTTGTTGATGTGTTTATATGTGTGTTTTTATGTCGATGATGCGTTTATTTTTTTTATTGTTTATTATAGTTGTTTATCTAATCTATAAAATGACTAACTTTGAATTTTGACCATTATTTTTTACCAACATGGCAAATATAAAAGCCCTCTGTTCAAAAAGTTACTGATATTCTTTAAAATGAGTGCCTGAACGAATCAGATAGGTAACTCTTTTTACTTTCGTGAAATAGAAAAGGTAAATAATAAAACAAGTGACAGGTCTTCCTCTTCTTGCAAAAATCAACGCGAAATGTCATAATTGACAAAAGTAAAATGTCATCAGCCTTTGACATTTCTAAATATCAGACCAATGCCGTCTCTAATAGAACAGCATTGGAGCGAGATTTATGACGTCACGCTAGTTAGATACCACGGATTAATAAATATGTTGTAGAATACACGGAAAACATAATTATTCCTCGTATTTTTGGTTTTGTATTTTAAAAAATGATATAGTTTACATGAACTATACATAATATACAGTTAATAAATACAATATATATACCTATTTATAGTAATAAATACTTTGGCAAATAAACTATGAACCATACAAATGCATCAAATGTTTTACAATATACAAATAATGAATAGGTACATAAGATAATGGGTAAAATGTAAAATATATTTTAAATTTTGGGGTTTAAAAATCTAATTTAACAAAAAACATTCAATATCTACTAATAGTGATGTATTATTATTTGCATTCACAAAATTTATATGTATATTTTGCAAGCATCAATGTGCGAAAAATTATATTTGCAAATAATACAATATCATAGAAAAAAAGGCATCAGCGAAATGAAGATCGCTGTCATTTTATATGTAAAATTATTCTAAATTTTTTTTGGGATATAGGTTCGGGAAAAACGCTGATTAAGTTTTCATTTGGTTTTTCATTATCTTTTTTTTTTGGTTAAAAAAAAAACGTTATAGCTAACGTTTATAGCCTTCATCAGTGTTGTGTCATATGAAAAAAATAGTGTCGAATATAATCCAAAAAATTACATATACGAGGAATGTTTTCCATGTATTCTACAACATAATTAATCCGTAGTATCTAACTAGCGTGACGTCAGAAATCTCGCTCCGAGGCTGTTCTATTAGAGACGGCATTGCATCAGCATGGCCCGCAAGTTGCTAACCTAATAAAATTAACACTAGAAAAGCTCGCGGGAACTGTCAAATTCAAAGTTATTCGTTTCACAGACTATATAATATTTTATTCTAATCTGTATCTACAATAAATTAATATAGATAATGAAAAAATCGGTAATGGGTAATACAATAAAATTAATAGATATTAACATTTAAAAAATAGATATTTAAATTGAATTCTGGTTGTCGGGAAATTATATTGATTTGATTGAAATTATATGATTGAGGGAAATTGTATTGATTTAAGTTATTTTACTTACTTAACTGCAGATTATCATTAAATACTTAAGCAAAAAAAGACTTAAATAATGTTATATTGATTTAAATCTTTACAAAAAATGACTTGACTTGAAAGAAAATGACTTAAGTCAAAGACTTAATACTTAAGTCATTTGAATTTTATATTGAAATTGACTTAAGACCTAAATAATTTTGATTGACTTGAGACTTAAAACTTAAGTCTTTTTAAAACTGACTTGTTGCAGCTCTGGTTCGAAGTGTATAGCACTACTCCTATCCCTGTTCCTGCTTTGTTTTTGGAAGCATCAGTATTCCACTTGGTGGTGTGGCCTTTTAACTGCGCTGAGCAAACGTTTCTATCTTTCTATTCTTTTTGTTGCCTAAAGTTTTACATTTTTGGTATGTCATCCATTGGGAGTTGGAGGTTAAGGAGTTGGCTTCTGGCTTCTAGACTAGTATATTTTTTAATGGCTACCAAGATTACCGGTATTTGAAGACAATTTACCGGTAATATTTTACCGCGTTTTTAGGACATTTAACCGGTAATGCAATCCCTATAATAAACCTAATTCACTCACTTTATATCTTTCTTCCAATTAATCTAGAGGGCGTACATTCGAAAATTGCGACCGTAAACATTCAAATTTCCACCTCATATACTCCTCCGTGTCCCGTCCCAACTATTTATGGGACCGATAAAATTTTATTTGCGTTTTGATTGGCGCAGAATTCCACGGTCGTAGTGGAGTTAGTCGCGAACATCCGTCATAATAAATCACCGCCTGTAAAACGAGTAGCGCGCATCGCACTCTAACGTTTTCGCCAGAAACTAACTTGGCCGTTATATAAATTAAAGCTCGTTTAGCCGTGTCAGTTGCGAAAGCGATTCACTTTGTCCAGACTCATTTTCTCGCAGTTATTTTTCGAAAACGTATGCGACGAGTGTATATCAACCAGTCTTTAAAGCCTGTCCAGAAAGAGAATGAACGATTTTGACATATGACATCTGAAAATTTACAGGAATAACAAGTTGTTTTCGAATTAAGCTGACCTCAGACACCTAAATAATTAAAACAAAGTCAGGTTTTAGATTGTAGATTGTATGGGAGGAGAGAAGTTAATCTCCGAGACCTACAGATCTATTGTGTCCCCATTTTATTTAGTTATATAAAGCCTCAGGGCTTTGACAAAAGCCAATATCTGAGACGGTTTTACATAGGGTAATTCTCCATCTGTAGACTCGTACATCTTGGATCTTTGGCCTTGCGGAAGAATACCGGGATATGGGGCTGAAGAACAAGCGGAATTTAGAGCTGGTAGATCCACGGTCGATATTTATTTACACTAACACAGATAATTGAGAAAGGGATGGCAAGAAATCAAGAAATACAGCTCCCCTACGTAAACCCCAAGAAAGCATATATGATAGTGTAACCCAGTCTAAATTATGGGAAGCTCTCGAGAAATCTAATATCAGCATAACATTAATTAAGGCTGTCCAGGAACTTTATAAGAACAACACTAGCCAAGTAAAGAAAGGACAAACCGTATCACAGGGATTCAGCGTAAGCAAAGGTCTTAAACAGGGTGCTGTCTGTCCTCGCGACACTGTTTAAAATCTATTTGGGACATTCCCTGAAAACGTGGAAAAAGAATTGCGAACAGATGGGGATGCCACTAAATGACTCGATACTTTACACTCTTTGTTTTGCTGATGATCAAATAACATTGGCTCAAGAGACATTGAATATATGACCCGCAAACTAATTGAAGAGTACAACAAGTGGAGGCTGGAGGTAAACCTTAAGAAGACGGAATATATGTGTATCGGCGGCGAACAACAGAACTTAATCCTAGAACAATAACAGCAAGAGATAAAACACTGCCCAAAATATAAATATCTTGGCATGCACATTACCAACGATGGTATTCTTGGTGAAGAAATTAAGTACACAAACAACCAGAGAACAAGCAATTAGACAACTTAACAGTATTCTGGATAGAGTAAGGAATGAGAGAATTCAGAACATCATGAGCGTTAAACACAGAATAACAGAAGACATCAAAATTAACCAACTCAGGTGGTGCAGGCACATACAAAGAATGGATGAGAGCAGAATCCCATAGAAAGTACTCAATTGGACACCATAAGGTAAAAGAAAGAGAGGGAGACCTAGACGGAGTTGGAGAGAAGGAATAGGCGGGAACATCAGAACAAGAGGAATAGTCGAAAACCTCTGGACAGACAGAGACCAATGGAGACTGGATTTGTATATATATATACAGAAATTCTCCATCTCCGATATCACTCATACAAAAATTAATTGCACGAATGGTTGCCATCTCGGCACACTCAGTGATGAGGTGTTCTGGTGTGTCCCCATTTTCCCCGCAGAATCTGCATTCGCCGTTGTTTCTCAGCTTCAATAATACAATGAGGTGTTTCTGAGTTGTACATTCTTGGTATATCATCCACTGGGAGTTGAGGGTGTGGATTTTTTTTTGAGGGTATTCCAAGGTCGTAAGCTGACCTGTGTTTCGACGTAGCTTGGCCATTGTCCTTAGCAGCAATAATTGAAAAATGAATGGGATATTTATTAACAGATAATTTAAATACCAGTTGAATGAAAGCTCCTAATAAAAAATGGTAAAATTAAAGAACAATTAAAGCAGTATTACTTTCAACTTTTCACGAAAAATAAAACTTCTAACTTGACTAACAAGCCTCGTTGCGAATTTAACGACAAAAATACGGGGAATAACAAACAGCGCGGAGCGGCATAAATAGAGAATAAATAAGCAGGAATAGTATTACGAATTGCAGAACGACGGAATAAAGCGCTATTTGATTACTTTTGCTGCAGTAATTTTTTACCACGGTTTTTCCCCGAAGCAGAAGCACGACAACCGAATACTTAGTATAATTTTGCATTCGCGCTCGGATGCGGTCTAAACTATTTTTAATTAGCAAAAAGAGCTTGGGCGGATGTCTTTCTGGCTTTGGAAGAACGCTGTAAGGAATTGTTTCTTTCTTGAATT